TGCCTCTGATACCCATCTGCCTAAGTGGCACTACCACTGAGCAGCCTTTATCAGGTGCATCATCAGAAAAAGTATCCAGCTGAATACATGTATCACATCTAGACTTAGCATCCTCAAAGCTCGCTTCCCATTCATCCATGGACCCTGGCACAGATGCAATATGAATGATGTGCTCTGTTCTGCACAAGACTACACTTTGCCAATGACCCTTTCTAACCTCAGCATTCACAGATCAGCTGGACTGCTCTATCAGGTGCTTCCCACTAAAGAACAGACAGGTTGAAGTGCCTGGATATTAAGCCTTCCAGGACATACAAGTCTGGGTTTTGTTTGTCTAGTAACATCTTTGCTGTCTTGCCAGAAGGGTACACAGTGTAGAACAGACAGTCCTGTCTTTTATCTTACTTGCTGCTTTCTTGAACTTGGCAAAATCTACTGTTCTGCTCTGGTATCCTGCATCCTACCCTTTGAGGATCCTGATGTAGCCAGAGCATGGAAGGAAAGCACCATTCCAGTCTTAGATAGGACAGAGAAAACGTGAAATGATTCTTCTTGCAGTGACAAAAAACCAGCCTGTAAAAAAGAGATGCATCAGAGAAACCTGATCACAGGATCTGCTGGCTTGCATGCAGTCTGGGGACTACCACAGTGTATTCCCAAATTTAAAATCAAAACCACACCTTATTTCAAAGATAGAGCAAAAAGCAGGGAATTCATAAAAAATGTAAGAAAAATACCTTAAGTATCCACAACCAAAGCACTAGAGAACCAAGAATGGAAAGGTAGAATTGAATTTGCAAGCAGCCCATGTCCTCTACAGCCTGGAAATGCAGAAGTCGGGCACTCCAGCATGTGCTAGCACTGCCTTCCTGCAGGTCAGTGTGAGCAGAGCTGCAACTGTCCTCGCTGAGGGCAGAAGGAACAGTAGTGCTTCCAAGTCTTGTCACGTAAGAGATTTGCTTTGGCACATGAGGCACTAGCAATCTAATGCCAACAGAAAGCACAAAGCTCTAACCTTAGTGGGACTGTTCCTCAGGAGATATCAATGTGTCTTTAAGAAAAACCTGGCCAAAAGGCTGTGGAAAGCAGGAGTGAAGCACCTTCTGAAGACCTCACCAAGGGCCAGGAGCCTGGAGCTGGAGCCTGCAACGGGGAAAGGCTGTGCACTGTAACAGACGGAGCCAGGGCCCAGGTATGAGTACCCTGCAGAGGAGCAGGAACACTGGGGACAGTCACAGAGCACTAGGCTACCAGCACCACCTGAGGGCATTTTCCAGCTCTGCAAGGAACCACAGCATAGGCGGTGACCAGGCATCACCGTGTCTGTGATCTCCTGATTGTATGGCCTGAACAAGACTGTGTCAGAAAATTATGTGCTGACAGAAGACTATGAGCCAGTGCTATGGCTCATCCTTTCCAGCAGCTGGAAAGGATGAGCCAGAGCAGTGGCACTGAGAGCCTGTCCCAGTGCCCTCAGAGATCCCACAGCACTACAGCACCTGGCGTATATTTCCCACCTTCCTCCCCTATGCTCTGTTTGCTTTTTCTCCAGTACTGATCTATTCCTGCTCTGCAGCATTCTGTATCCACAACTTTCTAGAAAATGCTGCTATGGCGATTCCTTCTGCTGTAGCCTCAGGTTAGTGTTTAGCAGCTCCTTCCTTTTCTGATCAAAGCACACACAACTTCACAAGGTGTGCACGACTTCAGGCATTTGCACCACAGTGCCCAGAAAGCTTGCTCCTAAGGAGACACGTAGCATGGCCACACAGATGAGTCAGTTCACATCAGCCCTACTTGAAAGTAAGTTGAAACAGAGGGAGGAGATTAAGGAAGAGTAATGGTTTGTCTTTCCAAGGATACATTTCCCTGTTAGCTTCAGGAATGGGATTTAGCGACATTTGTAAGGAGAGAGAGCCTTCAGCGAAAGGCAGGCTGAATTTCCTGACAATGAAAAACCAGAGGCCCTAGCCCTCTCCTCACTGCATCCTCAACTTACCGCTGTCTCTTGCTCCAACTAGGAAGACGATGACTTGAAGGATGGGTTGGAGCTACTACTGGAGATGTTCCCAGCCTGTACCGTGAGCCAGGCAGAGAAGGCTCTTGCCATGGCCTTGGGGAACTTGGAGGAGGCAGTGCAGTTAATTGTGGAGGAGAAGGTGGAAATTGGCCCATCAAGTGTGAGTGTGAAGGTACTGTACTCTGACCTGGGTGGCAGTGGGCCAAGGAGCAGAGCAGAGCTCAGGGACACACAGGCATCACAGCTGTCTCCCACAAGCAGGAGCTTTGACTGCACAATGAGCCAGGAGGATCACCCAGAATAACAGCCCCTCTCCCTCCCTTGGCTCTCTTAGTATTAGGCTGTGCCCACAACCAAGCTAGCAGCCCAAAGGAGGTGTGGCTGGCACTGCTTTCCCACAGAGGCTGGAATGCTCCACCAGCAGCTGGACTCACCAAGCTAGCAGGGGGAAACTGTATGTTCCATGTGTTGTGCTGTTCATACACCCACCTTGTCTCCTCCCAGGAACTGGCACGGCCCCGCAGAACACCCAACCACGAGGAACTAAAACAGGTTATCCTACAGAAGTAAGTACCCAACAGCAAAGAACCCCTCATTTTGCTCTCAGTAAAGGAGGAGGTGGCAGTTTGGGGAACAATGTGGTCTATAAAGAACTTAGGCTGCAAGATGCTTAGAAGGAGGCTGTGAAACTGATTTGAGTATAGCTGAACACATCTAAACACAAATACAATCATCATCTGGAGGGGAAAAAAAACAACAACCAACAACTACAAAAAAACCAAACCAACCAAACAAACAAAAAAATCAAAACAAACAGATTTGGCATTTTTAGAGCTCTAGCACAGAAACAGATTACCTGTACCAGCTGGGTCACAACACTGGCTGTGTGTGAGGTTTCAGCCTCCTGCAGATATAGTGTAAATCACAGTACTGTTGGCTGAGGTCCTGGTTAAAGTTTCAAGGCACAAACATCATGCTGCAGCTCAGGTAACAAACACATGGTGATTTGTAGAACTACAGCGTTTGTAGAACTCATTCATACCTCTGTCCTTGGAGACAGTCCAAACAAGGCTAAAGAGGCTGTCTGTACAACAACACTGAGAAGATTAAATCTCAGTTGCTGAAGGTGAAAATTCAGTGCATTTAAAGAAACCTCTCTGAAGTCCCCCTGTAGGCTTCTTGGGAATGAAAGTATCTATAGATTGGTTTACCTATATTTATTTCTAAAAGCATTTAATTCTCAGTAAGAGAACCCACACTGTGGTTTCATCGATCTGCTTTAAGATCTCAGCTTTCATGAGCAGGCAGCTTCCACACATCTATCCAGCCACATTTTTTCCACCACTTTACATTCTCCCCAGTGACAGAATAACCAATTGGTGGGCTAGGAAAGATAACGCAAGGCAGAACAGCATCCAGGCAGAAGTAGTAATCTCTGTCCTTGCCCACCTCCTGTCCAGGCTCATGTTAGTGACAGGCAAGGGAACAAAAAAGCACCAGCTCCTTGTTATGTTTCTGAGAACTTCAGTTTAATGACATTTTGGCAACATCCTGTACTTTAAACATCACTCAAGCACAGGTACAGAGAGCAGATCGCCATAGCTGAAGATACACGAGCAACTATATTAACTACTGAGGGAGCAGTCACGGTCAGCTGTGCTAAACCAGCACCAAAATCTCAGAGAGTAGCAACTCAGCAGTACAGCAAGCAAATGCTTGGACCCTGATGTTTCAGTCACGTAGGAAATGAGGTGATGCTTTTATGAAGTTGCTTCCAGCACAGGCCTGTTTCATAGTCAAGTAGGAGATGGAGTGTGAAAGAAACACCATCGTTCAGAGCAGAAGCAGACAGATTGGTCCTCTAATCTCACCTGTCTCCTTTGGCTGCCATCACTTGGACTGAGAAGGAGCAAAGCTGCCCCAATGGGAGAGCACACCTGACCTCAGCACCTCTCTCAGTTCTGCAGTGGCTATCAGCATTCTCAGCCACCTGAGTTTTCAGTACCTTTCACATATAGCCAAGGATGCTACTCCAGGAGAATCCTGCTGGATTCTCACCAGAAGGATGACACGTGTGCCCATTTCATCCACTTGGGAACATCAAGTGCTCTTTGCTGCAATCTAGTCACATAGGAGGCATTGCACAGCCACAAACCATCCAGGGGAGAAGGGATATAGGCTGTGAGTAGCCCCAGGCAACATAGCAGTGTTTACTAAATGCTTCTTGTGTTTCAGATACATGATGGTGGATAGTGCAGATGATCAGAAAACACATCGGCCAGCTCCACCCAAAGAGGTAAGCAGAGCAGTCCCAGCTCACCAGCAGTTTGAATGTCCTTTGTTACAAGGTTTAAAAAAATCAGGGCAAAAGTCCAAAAAGCAAGAGGGCAGCCAAAGGCAGGACCATTCACAGAACCTCTTACTCAAAGAGAGAAGATTAGCTTAGCTCAAGTGCTGCAGGGTCTGTCATTTCCTACCATTCCTGACTACCGTGGCTCTTGCTCCCCCCCATCAGACAACATCCTTTCCAATTTTGGCCAAGATTCCCAGCACAGATGATGGTAAAGCAGCCCACCCACCTCCCAGAGTGCAGTTCTACTTCTGCTTGCCCCCTGCCTTTCTCAAGCAGTGTGGCTGTCCATCCACTTGGTGTTAATGTCTTTCCTCGCCAGGCTCCCAAGAAGTTGATCCGCTATATCGATAACCAGGTGGTGAGTACAAAAGGAGAGAGGTACAAAGACATCAAGAAGCCTGAGAGTGAAGAGATGAAAAGAACCTATATCAGCCTAAAACCAGCCAGGAAGTACAAGTTCCACTGACAGCCAGGTTCTCCTGCTCTTCAGCCTTCCACCTCACTGGCCAGGCATGGCAGGATGGACTGTGGTGCTAGGAATGAGGGACTCCTCCACCTGCCACTAACTTGAACTAACCTGGGAGCCAGGACACTGTTTTCAGCTTCCTCAACTAACCTGGTTGATAAGGAGGAGACTTCTCTCCTTGGGTAGCTATCCCTCTGCCCCCAGGGGCACACTGCAGTGACTCTCTGGGGCCTGGGCATTCTCTGCTCTATATTGCATGGGACATTTTTAGATCTGAGATGTGGCTTGTGCTTTTGCAGCAACCTTTTTAACAAGTCTCTATGCACTGTTGCTTTGAGTGCCAGTATTAATAAAGATGATGTGAGTTGGTGTGTAGTTCTGCCAGAGCACGCATATGCTTTACAGACACTATCTCCAATCCCTCCTAGGGCCAAAGATAGAATCAGGGTCATCCTCTCTTCCCCTCATTACTCTCACCACAAGATGTGTCTGCTGTTTGATTAACTGCCTAGCGGATAACAAGGGCTGAGGCTGAACTCTAGAGCTAGACTCTCCCTGCCAACATAACCTGCAGCTCTCCACAAACTTCAGCTTACAGTAGAGCCAGTGCTTCTGCCATTTCTTACCACTACTGAGTGCCAAATTTCCAGCCATGCCACACGGAGCAAGATACAGTAGCAGGCCTGGGCACTACTAAAATGTTAAGTCAGAAGCTGGAAGAAACAAATGGCAATGACCAACTGCTTTCAGTGACAGCACAGCTAGGTTTGGTGCTTTTCTGTCAGTGAAACTGCAGTTAGGAGCATCTCCCACCTTGCCCCAGCCTAAACCAGCACCCTAGGCCTGGACAGACACACTGCCTGCACTGGGGCCATGCCAGTCCTTTGGTGCTAGGCTGGCCAGTGGCCACAGGCTGGAGCTAGGCTTACTGCCCTCCTCCCAGAGCCCAGAGGGGCCTGCCCTCTCCCAAGAGGAAGGCTGGTAGCTGTTCTCTTTCCTGCTCCAGCTGGCCTGGTTTGTTCCACAGCTCTGCTGGCATGCCCTGTACACCCACCCCAGGGGACAGTCCCCATCACGCACTCCCCTGCTCTCTGGACAGCTGCCGCTTAGAGATTTAAAATACAACAAATAGTAAATCCTATCTATTAGCTGGCCTGGCCAAGGCCTGTTCAGCACCATGGTGTTCCTGCAAGTCAAGCGCTCTCTCCACGCCAGGGAGGAGGAAAGAGTGAGCCCCACTCAGGCCAGCCTCACCAATGGGACCGACCTCTCCCTCTGCACGTCTCCACAGCAGCCAGTTCCAGCATCCTTCCAGGTTCCCAGCGTTGCATCAGTCCCCCCCTCCCCAGCAGCAGCAGTTCTAGATCTGAAGGTTGATGAAAGGGGCGAAGCCAACCACGTCCTCCAGGAGAATAAGAGCCCTCCGCAGTGGAGGCTCCACATCCAGCTCCACCCCACGGCTTCGGAGGATGCTCAAGCTGGACTCAGCCACGTTGTGGCAATGCTTGACCTTCAGCGAGCGCAGCTTGGGACAGTACTCAGCCAGGACTCTGCCAAGAAAGAGAGCACATGCAAGTTGCAAGTCAGGATTCCTAAGTGCACCATTCATGCTCTACTCTACTCCCAGCAGCCCAGCGCTCATGACTGTACCATACATGCACCATCCTTTGGGAGCAGCACCCTGGCAGTCTGAGAGAAAGTCAAGGGACATGGTTGGATCCCAGACCTACCCTCCATAATATGCTGGGAAATTTGCTGTCAATAGCACGCAGTGTCTCTCCTGAAGGGCCTGCAAGTGGCTTCTCTCCCAGACTGCGCTCTCATTGCTTTCAGCATGAAGATATCTGCCTTTCCTCTCTAGTTCTCTTTCTCTCCCTACCCCAGTCACCTGCCATCCCCACATTGCTCAGTACCTGATGGAGTCATTCTTGACTCGCAGACACCCTGTGAGGTCCAAGTGCTCCAGCTCGGGGCAGCACTTGGCAGTCTCCTCGACTGCCACGTCACCCACATTGGCATTGACAGCCAGCGACAGAGACTTGAGCCTGCTGCACTTCTGCACCAGGTAACAGATGGCCTCGTCCTTCAGCTGGCGGCAGGCTGTCAGGTCCACAGCCTCCAGGGCCTTGCAGTGGTCAGCCAGGCTGCGCAGGGCCAGGCTGTCCACCCAGTCGCACTGAGCCAGGGACAGCTGGCGCAGGTTGGGGCAGCTCAGTGAGATGGTCACCAGCGCATGGCGGCTGAGCTGGACGCAGCCCTTCAGCTGGATCTGGTGGAGGTGGTGGTTCTGCTCAATGACTGGGAGCAGCTCGCAGTCCGTCAGCCAGCCAGAGCAGTTCTGGAGTGCCAGCTGCTGCAGTACTTTGTTGTCCTTCAACAGGTTAACAAAAGCAGCTCGAGGGATGGCAGCTCTGATCTGTGTGGGGAACCCAGGAAGAGTTAGGCACCTCCCCAGTGTTTCACATCAGCCTGATCCTCACCAAATACCCTCTCCCCTCCTTTCTTCCACTGTCACAGTGGTGACCAAAGCCACTCTCTGTCCTCATCCTGGGGCAAACCCTACCATCAGACTCTCCTCACGTCATGCCAAGGCAACTGCCATAAGCTAGGAAGATGCTCTGGCTTCTCCATCCCACATCATCACTCCTGCATTTATATACTTGTGGTGAGCTCCACATGTCTGCTCTCCAAAAATCTCTTTGCTAGACCACTCTGTGTCCTCACAGAACAGCAGCTACTCCTGTCTTTCCCACTCCTAGGCAGTGTCTCCTAGAGCCAGGACAAGCTTTCCCCAATGACCAGGCACAGAATTACCCCCCATCAGACCCTCCCTATTGCACAACCTCTGTGAGGACCAACAGGCTGTGCCACTCCAGAGCTGGCTTGTGTTTCTGCCAGCCAGTGCCCCATAATGGCCTAGGTGGAATTTCCAGGCTTACTCCTCCCAGGGCCTCTTGATAAAGACACTGGCATTGCTGAGCCCTGAATCACTACCTCTCCTCCCTGAGCCCATCTGTCCAGTCTGACACCTGAGCCATTAACCCAAGCTCCTGAGAAGAAACTACCCTCCTTGCCCGGAGGTTCTTCTCCCCACATAGATGCTCCCCTGTTAGTTCCAAAGCAGTAGGACATCTCCTGTTAGTTCCAAAGCAGTAGGACATCTGTGTCCTCCCCCAGCCTCAGAGCCATCCAATACCTGGTTTGAGTCAAAGCAGCGCATGTTGGCCAGGTACAGCTGGATGAGAGACTGGAATGACTTGCTGACCCTCTGCAGGCTCAGGAGCTGCTGCAATGGCAGATGACAGAGAATATGTGGAAGCAAGACGTCTTCCCAGGGCAGGTCCAGGAGGCATCCCTTGGTGGGGGTCAAACTCATCCTCAGACACCAGAGAGCCAGGCCACTGCAGGAGCTGGGCTAGATCACCTCACACCTACTGCCGAGTGCCTCTAGGAGGAACAGCCAGAAAGAAAGACTCAGCGACGTTTCCCACAGTCAGCCCACAGGGTAAAGAAGTCCCTTGGCGATCCATCAGCAGGGCATGTGCCTGCCACCTGCGTCACCTCCTCCCCAGCCTGGGACGTTCACTGCTCAGGCATCCGAGTCCACCTGCCCGCACTGCCCTCCAGGAGTCCTCGGGTAGGGCTTTCTACCAGCCGCTGATGGAGTCCCTGTCCCTCAGCGAAGCAGCAGGAGGCTGCTGCAGCATCACCGCACTGCTCCCAGGGTAGCTGTGCCCGGCTTTCACATCTGAGCGTCACTCTATTCGGCAGCTAGTCCCCGGCATCCAGTGCCGGGCCATTCGGCCGCCCTGCGAGGAGGAGAGACCAGGTCCCCGCTCCTTCCTGCGGGGTCCCCCCACGGTGTCCCCCCGAGGAGCGGGCACTCGGCACCTCTGCGGCGATGAGGCCTCGGGCCGCGAGAGGAACCGGCAGAGGGGTTCTGGCAGTTCGGGGCCTCCCGAGCTGCCGTTGGAGGCCGGTTAGACTCGGCCCCAGCAGCACCCGCAGCTGGGGGAGCCTCGCCCGCGGCCGTTCCTGTCCCGCCGCCCCACGGGGCCCCGCTCGGCCCCAGAGTCGCCCCCGAGCTGCCCTGCCGCCGCGGCTGCGGGAGACACGCCGGGGCCTGGACACCGCCCCACTCCCCGCCGCAGAGCCCCGTGGCAAGGCGGCAGCGCAGCGCAGCGCAGCCGAGCCGAGCCGAGCCGAGCCGAGCCGAGCCGAGCCCAGCCCAGCCCAGCCCAGTCCTGTCCTGTCCTGTCCTGTCCTGTCCTGTCCTGTCCTGTCCTGCCTTGCCCCCGGTACCTGCGGCCCCGGCGAAGCTCCCCCGGTCCGTCCATCCCGCCGCGCTGCACCCGCCCGGGACACCGGCGGCCGCCCGTGACGTCACGGCGCCGGGCGGAAGTGCGCGCGCGCCACCGCCCCGCCCCTGACCCGCGCCCCGGCGGCGGCGCGCGCGGTATCGGGGTCGGTCGGGAGGGGCCGGGGGGGGGAGAGCTCGAGGCTGCCGGGCCGGGGCACCGGGCGGGTGGGGCACGGCGCTCACAGATCCCGTTGGTGTCCCAGCGGCTCCTGCAGGTGGCTCCCAGCGGCACGGCTCGGCCCGCACACCGGCCCTGGTGCCCCGGCTCCCCAGGCGCACCCGCTCCCCCGGGCGCACCGCCTGTCCCAGTTCCTCAGTTATCCCAGTTCCCCAGCGCACACCAGATCCCCAGTGCGCACCAGTTCCCCGTGGCCCCAGCTCCCCGGCGCGCACCTGTGGCTGCAGCCCCGCGGCTCCCCCGGTTCCCCCGTGCATACCGCCTGTCCCAGTTCCTCAGCTGTCCCGTCTCCCCAGCGCACACTAGGTCCCCAGCGTACACCAGCAGCCCCCGTTTCCCGTGGCCCCTGTTCCCGGTGCACACGGGCTGTCCCCGTTCCCCACGGCCGCTGTTCCCGGTGCACACCGACTGTTCCCTGTTCCCGGTCCACACGGGCTGTCCCGGTGCACACCGACTGTTCCCTGTTCCCGGTCCACACGGGCTGTCCCGGTGCACACCGGCTGTCCCCGGTCCCCGGTCCCAGCGAACGCCCCAGCCCCGCCGGGCTGGTGGGCGCGCATGCGCATTGCGGCGGCGCTGTCCGTTCAGCACCACGCGGAGCCGGGACCCGCCGGACCCGCCGCTGCCGGTGAGCGACGACCCCGCTCCCGCCAGACCCCCCTGCCCCCGCCAGACCTCCCGGCCACCCTCCCGGCTCTCTGCTCTCCCAGCGGGCTATGCCACCCCTCGCCCGCCCGCAGGAGCGGCAGGACCCCCGGGGAAAGGCCGGTGCCTGGGGCTTACCGTCCTCACGGCGCCCCCGACCGGCAGCCGCTGGCCCCGCTCCCCCGCCGGTACCGGGCTACCCCCACCCACCCCGGGGCCGCCCGCGGCCCGCCCCCCCAGCCCGCATCCTCCCGCTTTGCCAGCCTACTCCCCCCGCCTCGCTCCCCGCCGGTGCCCCGCCCGCCCCTGCAGCCCTGGGGAGCGAGCGAGGTCCGGCCCCTCGCCCGCAGCCCCCGAGGGGAACTGGCCCGGGCTCCTGCCCGCGCGGTCGCCATAACAACTCCGCAGAAACAGACGCTGCTCTTCCCTCCCCGCTGCCGCTAGCGGAGCGGGCACCCCCCGCTGGTGCGGCACTCGCACACCACAGCCTCTACATGGCCCTGGGCAGGTGACCCCATCTCTGGCTCGGATCTGAGCCCTGCCGCCTTGTGCAGCATCAAGCTTCTGATCACTGCTGGCATAAGCACTATAAAAAAATCCACCTGGCAAAAGAGCAAGACCCACATACAGTGAACGAGTCCCAAATACCCGTTCCCGAGTTCCCTGGGAAGCAATAACCTGTCTATGCAACTTATTGTGCTCATTCCCTCACAAGGCGTAAGCTGGTTTGCAGAAAGGTTTTCTCTCCCCAGTGCCTGTCCTCTGGGGGAAGCTACCCACGCTGTCTACCCTGGACATGTGGCTCCCCGAGTTAGCACAGTACCTTTCTCACTTCCAGAAGGACAAACAATGCAGGGATTTTAAATTTTATATGGGAGTTGAGAGTGCCCCCGGCCATGTCCTTCCTTCCCCTGGAGTGGGGGCACTCTGTTCTTAAGTTCCTGCTGAGAAATGTGCCAGCTGGCAGTCCCTTAATATTCCCCCTCTAAGTGAATGCCTGTGGCTGAAGCTGGCTACAAGGAGGGGTTTTGAAATAGTGGTCTTGGTCTGCGGACAAGGTGAGGGAGCACCAGCGAGTGAGGGATTGCAATGCTCAATTACATCTGACCTTTGCTGAAGGCTTTCTGTGCCAAAACAGACCTGGCTGGGAGCCTCCAGCTTTTGTTGAGTCCTTGCTTGAAGGAACTGTGCTGTGGATTGCTTGTTATCCTTCCTGAGCAATATGTGTGGCAAGTGGGACCTGCTCTGCTCCCACACTTACCTCTGTTTATTTTTTTCATTTCATCTGATCCAGCTGGGCTGGCTGAGTCACTTCCGCAGGAGCCTGCTGGTAGCAGGGCTCAGAGGCAGGCAGAGAGTCAGCCTAGGCAGATTCTGGATACCACAATGAAGTTGGGAGGCACTGTTATTTTAGAGGCAGAAGTGAGACGTGGTTGCATTTGTTTCACCTCCATGGTATCCCAACCCTTTCCTGGCTTGTGCTGCACATGCAGAAGGAGAAGACTCTCCTACCTTTAAGATCTGGTGCCAAGGCAGAGCCTCAAGGTTTGGTTAGTGCAGAGCCATCTTCACTGAGACACTCACAGCACCACTGAGGAATCACGCTTAATCCAGCTCACTTCAGCCTGCTTGCAGGACAGCATTCACCGTGCCGGGCTGGAGGACTGCTGCCTCTCAGGCTGTACTGACTTTTTTTTCAGGTGCAGCTCTCAGGGTCAGCATTGCCCTGGGAAACAGTGAACAGCTCTTGGATCTTGCAGCCTGAAAACTGGTTTCCTGACTCACCACCACAGCAAGTGCGGTGGGGTGCTTATTCTGACAACCCTCTTTAGCTCTTGAGTTCAGTGCAGCCCTGATTTTGCTGTCTCAACAGTTAGAGAAGTGCAAGCAAGGTGGGGAAGAAAAGGGTAAACATGCCAGCTGTGTCAGGGTATAGCAAGGGTGACTGCCTCTGAAAGGGCAGGGCCTCCCCAGACACAAACCAGTCATTCAATACCTGCCCAATAGGGGCAACTGAGTCAGGCCCAGCCTCATGATCAACAGGCAGGGTCATGATGATGGGGCAGGGCTGAGGTCCATCTAGGACACCAACCTACAGGGGAGGGTCCAAATCAACAGTGCCCACAGCCTAACATAAGAACAGCTTAGCTAGGCTAAGCTGGAGACCAGTGCTCCTATAACACTTAATGGAAGATAAGAGCCCCAGGCTGCTCTTAAACAGAGCCACTGGGCCTATGGGCAGGAGTGGTGGAGGCTCCAGGGGTGGCTGGTTAGGGCCACTAAGGTTTATTAGTGTCCCGAGAGCCCTGAAAACTGTTGGCCTGTGGGGAATTGATAGGCAAGCAGGCAGGCTACAGCTACACCTTCTGAGGCGTATGTACTAGGTACTAGGAATTACGAACACTTCCCAGCTGTGAAATGTGAAATGTTCAGATTGTTCTCTTTCTTCTCACCAGTTGTTTGCAGACGCAGAAAGAGCATCAGAGACTGTTACTGTATTGTAGAGGTGTGTGCTGAGACACAGCTTTACACCATCGGGATGTCCAGTGAAGCCAGAAACTTAGGACTACAATGGTAAGGATCCCAAACCACTACTGGTTTTACACTCATGTCTGTAAAGATTTCCTGTATGCAGAGTGATTGTGATGTAGCTGTACAGCACTGAAGTACAGGGAGTGGGGGGTGTTACCCACTGTAGCTTCACAGTGAACGGACAGCTCCAAGCAGACAAGCTTGAAGAACCAGAGCTTTGTTCTGCTCTGCTCAGTCAAGATTTGCAGAAAGCTTCTGCCTTTCTTGTGGCATATGCTTTGCCTAAGGTGGGTCTGCATTTTTCTTGAGAGGTGCCTGTAAGTTTCCTTTTTAAGCTTCAGCAAGATGCACGTTTGTAGTTGAGCCATAATACCTCAAACTGTCTGCCAAAACAGCTTTGAGTTGGCCCTGATGAGTGCTGGGTCGTGACACCTGCAGTCCTTGCAGAGCAGCTGGGGAAGTGTATTGTACAGGTACCTTAAACAAGCAGGGGACACTGGTAAGGTCCGTGGCTCTCCTGTTATCCCAGTGACCGCTGATGTCCTGTGAGGGAAAGCAGGGCTCCTGCGTCAGGCCTTGAGCTGATCTGTAGTAATGAGAGACCAAGTTGAGCCCTGGGGGGAGGAAACAGATTAGCTCACAACAACTGCTGCTGCAGCTTTCTTGTGTATTCCTTGGAAACACAGGGTGCTAGCTGCTCTCAGAGCCAGAGCATGGCATCTTCATCCTCATGAACATCCCCTGAAGTGAACAGAGGCTTCAACCAGCCTCACTGCTGTGAGGCAGTGCTGGTGCTATCTGTGCTTCTGAAGAGTCTAGAGGAGGAGTTTGCTCTTCACCTCATCTTTTGGGAAACAGAGGTGAGATTTAGGAAATTGGGGCCTGAAGGGAGGGGAATCTTGTGCTTAGAAGAGCTCACCTCAAGTCAGGAATCCCAGTCTTTGGTTCCCAGAGATGCTCCTGATTTGCTGGCTATCATAGGCGAGTCTTCCCCACTCATGCCCCTTGACTTTTCCCTTGCACTGAAAATGCAGTTATTTCCATGTCAGAGGTGTTATAAGAGGTTGGTTGGGTTTCCTGAAGTCTGCTGGGGTCTCCAGAAGCTGGTGCTTATTTTTAGGAGATCAGTACGGTGCCAAGCCAATATTATTCCAATGTCCTAAGATCTATCACCTCATATGATGGCTTGGCATCTTGCTGGCTAAACACCTTTGTCCTTGCAAAGACTTTGGGGGCATTTCCTTTACAGTTTTCTACTAGTCTGA